TTGAGGACGGTGTTGACGAAAAGCTCAACTTTGACCCTGTCTTTAGACATCCAAAGGGTCAAGCGAGTCTTGTTGGTCCTGGGGTCAGTTCTCCAGACCAAGCCGCCAGCGAAATAAGAGGGAATGTAGCAGCCAGTGGCGAACACAACGATGATTGAAGTACACACTGAAGCTCTTTTCTTGGTGAACACGTTTTTCACCCTCAGAGGGAAAATCACACACGCCGTTCTTTCTACGGCTATGAACATTGTCACCAACGTCGAGCTAGAGTACACGAGGCCGGGCACCGGAGCTAGTACGATAGCAAAACGATTGAAATTAAATTCGTTATCAGGAAAGATTTCCCCCAAAATTCTGAAGACGAGAGCAGCGAACTGTATCAAAGAAACCGCTTCGTCTAGCAGGGACAGGATGACGAATTGCACTTGTATGCTGCTCGAAACTCCTCGCTTCAGAAATACGACAGTATTTACTGTATTTGTCAGCATTCCGAGCGTGGAGAAGATGCTTATTCCGAAAAAAGAATATTAGATGAAAGTAGAAATTGGTTTCTGATCTTTTATATTTTTTCGGTAATGTGCGCCACGAGGGTACATACAAGAAAACAAGGCGCGTCTTTATTGTTAGTGTTAGTACTAAGTAATCATTTCAAAATCTTTCCCTCTACGATCTCATGCAATTAAAATTTTCCAATACAAATGGTTTGTGAAATTCATAGTATAGTTTGATGGCTCTTATTACACCCATACATAACGACATGAATTTGTCTCCAGTGCAGCAAATGTAAGTCAAGTCTTGTTTTCAAGTTTGCAGTTGCTGTCCAATAGAAATAGACGTTGTAAAGGTAATTGATACCCTCCTCATTTCTTTTTTTGGCCCATTTGCTCTTAAAAGTCAATGTTATCTTTCTAGAGGGAATTAACTTGACCTAGAGCGCACGTCCAGGATCTCTTCTCTTTGTGGGTACCACAATGAAATTGCCGTTACTGCGTACCGGGAAGATGCTTTTAAGGATGGTAGCTGGATGGAAGGGGAAGAGGGGGTATAGAACTTTACTTTTATTTTACCAATTTTCCTGTCTGTAGTCTAATGGCTATGTCCTGCAAGCAGAGAGTATGAGTTCGATTCCCGTGTGGAAAAACTGTAGAGTGTTCCAGTTCCCTCACTGGGATGTTCAATCAACCCGGGGTGATACAAATAAGCCGGGCCGAATGGACCTGCCCTCGTTGAACCTTGAGTCTCCGCGTTGTCCGTCCATTGCAGGATGTAGCG